TGGTCAAATTCTTCCCTACCTGCATACCTATTTCTTACTTGTACCTATTACCTTACCTACCTTACCTATTTTTGCCGCCAAGCAGTATGCAGTCAGTATTACTGCGTTCCGGACTTGAAAGATGCTGGTGAAATTACAGGGACATGAGACTTTTCAAATTATGTCTCAGGGCACAGTGATAGTGCCCTTTGAGCTGCATTGCAACTGTTATGGACAGGCGTGACGCTTACCACCAGGCGCACGACTTGTTCGTCCCATCACTTAGTATCATAAAACAAAAAGTAATAATGAAAAATTAATAAATTCTACGTGATTTGACCACAATATTGTATTGCAAATAGGTAACTTATTTTCTGTTTATAATGTATTATATCATTCAAAGAAAAGGTTAAGGTCAATGGAAACGAGGTTAAGTTTATACATGTGTCACCGTGTCCAAATGTCCTAGACAATTTTTGGATCAAATCAAAATCGAAATCAATGATTCTGTACATGAATATTGTCCATATTAAGCTTAACTGATATTATTACAAAAACATCAAATTCAACAAATTAATATTGCAATTAGTACGAATTCATCTAATTAGTCAGCTTCAGTCGGTAGCTCAGTTGGTTAAGAGCAGTGGCCTAGACATGGCAACAGACACTGGTTTTAATCCAGCCCGATCGAAGGAACCTTTCTTTCTTTTCGATCTTTCAAGTATTTTCACAAAAAATATGTGAATATCATCGTAGTAAAACATTATGATATTCAACGAATAATTTATTTATATTATAATAATTTCAAAGTTAATATAAACAAGCATACGTAAAATGGAAGTGGCACTTGTTATATTAGTTTTTATTTCGATGTACAGTGACAACAAGCAATAATAATAGGTAATAAAAATAACAGAATTGAATCCCTAGCGCTGGCCCATTGCCAAAGCCCTGTAAATGTCAGTCGATATGAGCTACCAAGGTTTTTACAACTTCCGGTTCATTTTAGCAATCCGTATTTTTAAGAGGTATGGCACAAATTTAATTTTTCGCTGCGTATATTTGGGTTGCTGAAAATGAATTTTGCTTTCGTAATGCACTATTCTGAGTCATTATTTATTTATTTTTTGAAAATGGAACTGTTTTTTTAACCGACTTCAAAAAAAGAGAAGGTTCTCAATTAGACTGTGTTTTTTTTGTATGTATGTTAAGCGATAACTCCGGTATTTGTGAACCGATTTTCATGATTCTTTTTTGTTGGAAATGGGGAACTTCCATAGTGGTCCCATTTCATTTTGAAGGAAATCATCCACCTCTAAGGGTGGCTGTTCATTGTTCACGCATGAAGATTCATTTTTATAAATAGCCCCTAATTTTTTTTTATTATAAGGAGCAATTATTTTTATGGTTGATTTTGCTATTCTCCAATTCAAGGCGTTTTTCTCTCTCAATATACTTTGAGTAGTGAGAACCGATTTTTATTATCTCCTGTATCAAGTCCTGTATAGTGGCGAACTAGGGGATTTTTCAATAAAACTTGGCAAATAGACGTAATTCCACGTATTTCTGAGGTCGGTTTTTTAGTACTCTGTACTGACATTATTTATTTAATTTTTGACTAAGCATAAAAAACTTCCCAGTATACTTTAAACTTAATTACCTTTGTCCGTATATCGCTAATTTCGTTCCCGTAGTATGAATAAACTTAACTTATAATTTTGACTTAAAATCTTATTCACATAATTAGATTCTAAAATGTAAATAATGAATCTTCGTCAAACTCGTAAATTATTTCCATTAGTGTCGTAAGGGACGATTTGTCGAACAAAAACAAGTTATTGTGTGTGCAGCGTTCGTGCTACTGCGTGCTGACATTCATTGTAGTATGCGTCAGTGTTATATAAATGTTAATTTAGTGACATAAGGCCCGGTTCAGATAGCAAGTTTTGGATGCGTATTGTACGCGCGTTTTACTAACTAGCGCGCTTATGAGTAAATTTTATTCGAAGTAGCCGTAGGTGTTCACGTGTTGTCGCGCGCCTGACACTTGTCATGTGTTTTGCGTTTATATCGATTTTGCGTTTTACGCGCCTTTCAAACAATTCAACAGCAACAACGTCAAGTTGCAAGGCTGAGGAAGGAGGCGAGAGAGGGGCGTGCAGCCACAGCAGTTGTCTATCTCCTAAAGCTTCACCGAATTTGTTAATGTATGCGAAAGTTTACTGGCTGCAACTGGCTTAAACACGTGATTACAACTACATTAATTTTATTAGTAAGTAGCTGTTGGTGTTCACATAATGACGAGCTTTGACTGCGCGTCGTCATATGAACGTCCACGGCTACTTACGAATATAGTTCGTGTGGTTTGTAAGCGCGCGTTAGCAAAACGCGCGTCGAACCCGCGTCCTACGCTTGCCATGTGAACTGGCTCTAAACTTAAGTCGTATACTCGTATTTAGGTACAAATATAATACTTAAATTTTTAATGTAAGTATTATATTTGTATAATACAGTATTATATTTGTATAATACTTACATTAAAAATTGCCGTGGTCCTGCAGTACGGATGTTTCGCGGAGACACGTGTAGATTGCTTCTACACCACGATGCGGAAACGATGCACATCCCTGGCGCGCAGGGTTCGGGCCAGCTCCAACAGCATCCTGAGCATGATCGCGAATCGGCTCGACTGTCCATACGTGAACCAATGATTCATGTACTTAAAAATAAGTAGTGGTGTCCTATTGTGCTTTGTCTTTGTATTTGTTGTTTTGTGTACATGTACTAACATAAGATTTAAGTGATTTTGTAAACCTAACTAATACCTTGGGTCCTTGTTACCTAAATAAAAGAATTTTATTATTATTATTATTATTATTATTATCTATTTTAGACTCTCGCCTCTTCCAAGGCCTAAAAGATTACTATTATTATTATTCCTTTATTTTCTCAGCTTTTTTTTGTGGTTGGTTTGAACCACATTTGCGGACCGAAATCAAGCAAATGCAGTAGTCTATGTGGACGGTGGTGGTGGTGCGTAACAAAAGCTTACTTCGTTCTCTTTCGTCTGCAAGAACCTTCTAATAATGCGTCAAGTATTAAGGATGGCTGCCTTCTGTAACATGTGGTATATGTTTGGTGGGAGATTCAGGGAATGCAATGACTTGTGTAGCTGTTTGGGAATGACACCTGTGGTTGAAAGAACTATTGCCACTATTAGTGCATTCTTTAAGTGCCATATTCTAGTTATTACCTCTTTTAGTTCTGTGTATTTAGAGAGTTTTTCTGATATTGTAGACTGTAAGTTATGGGGGCAATGTCTATTAAAAATCCGGTTTTGTCAATCTTGTTTACTAGCGTGATGTCTGGTCTATTGTAGTGAATGGTTCGGTCAGTCAGAATGGCTCGATCAAAATATACTTTGGTTGTATCATTTTCAAGCACGGTTTCAGGTGTATATTGATAAGAAGGCTTTATGGTTTCCAAAAACTTGTACCTCGTTGTTTCGGCTATCTTTTGATGGATGTTATTGGCTACTTGATCGTGTCTATGTTTATAGTCTGTCTGGGGTATAGCTTTAAATGCACCTGTGATATGCTGGATGGTTTCAGGGGAGCTATTGCATTTTCTACAATTATCTGAGGTCAGCGTCTTTGTAATATATTTTTGGTAATTTCTGGTTTCAACTACTTGGTCCTGTATTGCCAACATGAATCCTTCTGTTTCTGGAAAAATATCGCCGCGGTGGAGACACGCGTTCGACGCATTCTTATCGACATTAGGTTCACTCAAATCGAGGCGGTCTTTCATGAAGATACTTCTGGGTCAATTTAGAAATTTTTGTTGTGTTGTCAGTCAGTTTTTTGATGTTTTGTGTTTTATTGTCGGTCATATTAAGGGGTGTTAATTTAATGTCATTTTGTACTATAGTTTTGTGAAGAATGGAAGGAGTCGTTTTGTGAAAGAAATACTGTCTTAGTGATACCTGTCTATTGTGTAGGTATATTATTATTATTATTATTTGTTTTATTCTTCTCTGCAGTCAAGTAAATGCAGTATGGCGTGTACCTACTTACGAATATGTGGTGGGTGTGTAATAAGATCCTACTTCGTCCTCTTCCATCTGCATGGACTTTCTGAAGACGCGGCATGCATTTAAAACTGCAAATAAAAATTTATTATTATTATTATTATTAGAGACATTGAATTTTGAATATTTTTATAAAATAAAATAATGTTGTCTTAAAGGATTGTCTTTACTGATTTAGTCAATAGGTCGTTAAGGTAAATTATATCTTTTTAATCATTTTTAATATGAAATTTTTCTAAATAATAAATTTAATGACGGAATAATAATGGAAGTATGATTATTTTTCTGTGAGACTAAATATAATGTAGTACTATTTCGCAAATTGATAGTAAAAATCCTTAGCGTTTCATTCATAAAGCTGACCCACATACTTCCCTATACTAGTTATTTATTTCTAATTACGAGTAAATATCTGATTACATTCATATTGATTTATTTTTCATGAATATTGTAGACATTCATTATTTGTTTATTTTCTTATTCTCTTTTAATCTCAAAAATCATTTAATGTTCAATATCTTTCAATTTAACTTCAATATTAATAACAATGTATCGATTTTCATACATGGTTGGTGAGTAACGATTTTCGAGTAGGTATGAGGTGTGTAATTTAATAACTGCCAGTGTGAGAGGTCAGGCTGTGTGATGGAGGACTTGTTTTGGTGAAATTGGCTCGGTACGTCACTCCAGGCTATATTACCCGCTTCCGTTTATAGAAATATCTATAAGTTCGAACGGTTTACTTGCCAGGTGTATGCAATAAAAAAGTTTCAAAAATGGTTTCGATCGTAGACGTATTGAAGATCGCTCTCTTATAGATAAATAATAAAAAATAACTTGAAAGAAAGACAAATAGTAACAATTTATTTTTCTTTCTTTTTTTTTTTCATTTAAAGCATATTTTCTTTTGTCTTTATCATTTAAGTATACAGTTTCCTAAATAACATTTTCTTGGAAATATTTTTTACAAAAATGTCACGTGATCGGTATTAATTATTAAGGCAGGTTCATAGCGGTTTGTGCATTTCTGCGAAATTTTCAAGTTCCTCGTTAATTTTCTTCACCAGCTGTCACTTCGTGGAGGTGGAGCAGGGGGCCTGAAATAACGTAACAATTAATGATGTACTCTGTTGCACTGTTAAAGGAAATAAAACTGCAATGACGTTAAATTTAATGCTTAAAATGGGGTGTACGAAAGGGGCCTTCCCGCACGAGGTACCATTCCTTACGTCGTACGTCGTACGACGTACAGGAAAGTACGTACGTAAGGGCGAATCCTTTCACCACGAAGGCAAGCATTATAGTGTATGCCATAGATACGATAAGAAGAAGACTGCTTAAAAACCGACTCTACCAAAATGTTGGACCCCTGATTTAATTTATTTTTATTTTAGAATTTAGAATGCCTTACATGCATTGTGCAAAAAAGATTAAAAAGTGACGATGCGATCGACGATAGAGCATGCACACCTAAATAATGCCTATTCGAGTGAATAGGCATTATTTATACATATGCCTTGAAAAACGCTTAGTTATAGCGTTGAGGGAAAAAGTCTGCAGCCTGGGTATTCCGGTCTATAGCCGTTCGCCGTATAAATGTAACAATACGTCGAGTTTTTTGGTTATGGTAACGAAACGGCGGGATTAAGTAAATTTAGGGTCTAAACTATTTTTTTGAATTGAGAGACTCCAAAAAATAAACAATAAACAAAATAACAACAACAACAAAACAAATTATTATTATTATTATTAATTAATCCATATTAAAATACAAATAAAAAGTAATGAATCCTACACTATACTAGTTTACTCGCAGATTGTTACATTAAAAACAGCGCACGATTAATAAGACAACACAAAAGAAAATTGAATAACACAATGTAGTTCAGAATACATATAAAGCAAGTACATAAGTTTAAAATATACGTACCCCGGTGTATTCCAGTTGTTGTTACTGCCACATAATACTGTCGTAGGAGTTTCTTGTGGCCTATAAAAAGTAATTTACAACAATATTAATACAAAGATCAACAGCCAAAAAGTCATTTGATCTGGCTGGATTCAGCTGCCAGCGCCAACCAGCACCTTCATTACACCGTCAGCTACGGTATGGGAAAGGTGCTGGTTCGAATCTAGCCGAATCGAATGAATTTTTGTCTGTATCCGATCTTCGTATTAATAATTGTAACAAACTAGTGGAGTAATTTCACAAAAGCTAACTGAATAATATGATCGTAAAACATCGTAATATTCAATAAACGTTACATAGTATTACAATTTACCCCATGTTTACTACAGTTCTCCAAACCGATACCTTTTGTTGGTCACGTTGCCTAATAAAAAAATTTAAAAACCTTCATCAAATACATGTCGCTTGTCGTTAGCAGATTTTTTTATAATTAATTACGAGCGCGTAACTGGGCATAAGTTGACTTACCCTGAACCCAAATTAGCAAGTGCTAAAGCTTCCTGCGCCCTAATCTTTCGTCCATAAATACGGCATAACTTGACACATAGAGGAGCAACCGCTGTGCACCATAGCAGACCTAATATTGATCCAAGAACCCACCACCCGTGCTGAAAGAATATGATTAGAGAATTCTAAAAACGATTTTTTTTAATATAAAATATTAGTGCGCTTTTGACCTCCATCTCACCTGATGGAAAGTGACGATGATATCGACGATGGAGCATGCACACTTAATGTGAATAGTACTCAACCCAAGTTATAACGTTCAGGGAACAAGGCTGCAGGCAGGGAATTCATAGAAATTATAAAATATCCACAACATAGAGGCGGAACCCAAGCCTACGCCTAGTCCCCGGTAATGGAAAGGGGAAGGCGGAATTAAATCGTGTAATTCCATCGCACACTCTCCGTGAAATATCCTGTAAAATACCGACTGGAAAGGATCCCAAGCTTCCTTGCTGCATTTTTGGCCACGGATTCAATGTATCTGCCGAAGTGCAAATTGGACGACAGGTCCATTTCAAGTAGTTGGTGACAGTCGGCTATCGGAATAGATATATCACGAAAAGTTGGAGTCAGCTCAAAGGGACTCCGTTTTGTGGAGAATAAACCCGCCTGCGTTTTGGTAGCGTTAAATTTGACAAGATTGGCATTGCCCCAATCGGAAACTGACTGAAGTGTCAAATCTGAACGGCTAACCAGGGACTCTCGACAAGACTGGATTTGCTCTCCACTGACCCTTGCATTTGACAAGTACCTGTTTACAACTGCACATACGCAAAGGTGCCTGGAATTAACATATCATTGATATGCAGCAGAAAGAGTTGCAGATAGTACGGAACCCTGAGGAACCTATCGCCATATGTTGGGAAGAGTAGCCTTCTAAGACCACTCGAATCGAAAGTTCATATCATCATTATAAACTCGTTTATACGTCCCTCTGCTGAGCACGGGTCTCCTCTCAGCGGCGAGGGTTTAGGGTTGGGACTTCATACGTTTTCCGAGGGTTGTGAACCGACGTGCAGGTTTCATCACGATGTTTTCCTTTACCGACAAGCTCATGGTAAATTTCTAATTAAATTTCATACATTCATTTCGAGAAACTCAGAGATGCAAGCAAAATTTTATCGAAAAAATTAATGGATTGTCTGGGAAACCCAAGAGCCGGCAGCTACCTTGCCCCACGCTTTAGCATAGGAATACAAATAGGGAACGCTGCTAGCATCTTGGGCACCTAGTCGCGGGGACCCAATTTTATTAATATAATTTAAAAATCCTAGTTTTACTTCCTAGTAGTTAAGCTTTTATTGTCTTTTTTACCTTACCTGTATATGATCTTAATTAAATACTATATCGAGATGCTCGAATTCGAACACACGCTCTCTTCTTGATAGGTCAAATCATTAAGCTACCACGGCTTTTGATAAGGTACAGGTAAATAATTGTTGGGAACGTTATAAGTAAATAACACGTAAAATTAAAAAAAAAAAAAAATTAAGTACGTAAGAAAAGCAGGAAATTGAATTATATAGTATCTTGATGACAATGGATAAAATGTTAGTTGAAAACAAAGAACTATACGATTACACTCTTAACATGAGAGGTACAGTAATAATAACGTTTAATTTTAATACTGCACACAATGTTCACCGTGTTACACGTTGACATGTAATTTGATAACGTATTTTAATTTATTGTAATTGTCCTCCATGTTTCTATTATTACTTAGCGCGTAAGGTTACTGACAAATAGGGATGATTGGTTTGATAACATATGAATCAGAGAAAAAAAACCATGGCTACTTTGTATTTACTAGTTTTTATGACCTAACAGAAAATTCTGCAATGTAAACAAGCCTTACCAAAGAAGAAACATAGTTCGTGCACAACAGAGCTCTCAATGCAGAGTAAACGTCGAATAGTGGCCGACATTTCGCAGCATGCTTTCCAGTTGATGCCAAAACGTGGGTTCTCCAACCAGCTGCGTGGGAGACTAAACGAGTCACGTAGATCGATACTCTCTAATAAAATATACACTTTAATAAATTATCAATTATCACGAAATAGATGCTTAATAATCTTTTAGCTAAATTTTACGGCCACAACTTGTTTCAGTTAAATCACTTGGTGTGGATTCGAACACAATTGTATCACAGTATAATAAAACTAGTAGGACAAGTTCCGGTTATTTCGAACGTAAATGAGCGTAGGGTTGTCACATTTTTATTTTACTTGGTACTT